AGCAGCTCTGAATTCTCCCCAAACGTACAGTCCAGTTAGGAGTCCGAGAGCCCTGAGCTCCCTGCAGCCCCGGCTCGGCCCTGTCCCCGGCAGCACTCCCAGGACAGAGACGCGAACGGCCAGGACGAACCCGGCCTCCCCAGCCCTGGCCCGCGTCTCTCCCGCCTCCCAGCCGCTCCCTCCCTTGGCCTCACCTTTGTCCTGGACGTAGAAGAACACGGGCTCCGTCCAGGACCCGTTCCCCGACAGAGAGGTGGCCTGGATGCGGGCCGTGTAGTTCCCCGGGCTGAGCTTCTGCAGCTTGGCCCCGCCGTGCTTCCGGTAGTCCTGCCGCGACACGCACTCCCGCTGGTCCTGGGGGGAGGGGGACAGATCCGTGTCGACCTCCCACAGACACGCGAGAAACAACGGGCGGCTCTCGCGGCCCAGCCTCTCCCTCCCACCTGCCCGCGATCCTGATTTGCAAAAAAAGGGAAGAAAGCAAGCCTTCAAAGCAGCGGTTCTCAACCTGTGGGTCGCGACCCCTTTGGCGGTCGAAAGACCCTTTCACAGGGGTCGCCTAAGACCATCCTGCATATCAGGTATTTACATGACGATTCATCACAGTAGCAACATGACAGTTAGGAAGTAGCCACGAAAATAATTTCATGGTTGGGTCACAACATGAGGAACTGTATTTAAAGGGCCAGAAGGTTGAGAATCACTGCTTAAAAGGCACCCAAGTTTTTTGTTTTTTTAAAAAAATATATTTCTATTGATTTCAGAGAGGAAGGGAGAGGGGAAGAGAGAGAGAAACATCAATGATGAGAGAGAATCATGGATCGGCTGCCTCTTGCACGCCCCCTACTGGGGATGGAGCCCGCAACCCAGGCATGTGCCCTGACCGGGAATCGAACCAGGACCTCCTGGTTCACAGGTCGACGCTCAACCACTGAGCCACGCCGGCTGGGCTCAGCCTTTATTTTATTATTTAAAGTCAAGCTAAGCGGGAAGGGCCTGTGCCGTACTGGAACCCCTGGTCTCCTGGGAAGGAGACACACGCGGACCCGGTCCCCGGCCCCGTCTTACCTCGACCTGCGATCCGTACTTTATCTCGTACATGAGAATCAGTCCGTTGGGATTCTCCGGTTCGGGCCACTTTAAGAAGATGGTGTTGTCAGGCTTCACCTCCCAGGTTATCGGTCCGGGAATGTCATCCGCTCCATCTGTGTAACCATTAAACACAAGCAATGAAGTGGGATTTGGTCCCCCGGGAGGGATGCCAATGCCGGGCCACGCGAGCCCTCCTCCAACCCAGGACTGAGGGCAGCGACCACACAGTCCCCGTGAGCTGGACGCCCGCACCCAGCACCAGTCTGGGAGGCGGAGGCACGTGATGCCCTGAGTCTCGTGATGCCAGCCTCGGCCACCCCCTGCCACCACCGGGACAGGGAACCGGGCACCGCACCCACCCTTTTAATTTTAAAAAAAAAATTTTTTATTTCTATTGATTTCAGAGAGGAAGAGAGAGACAGAAACATCCATGAGAGAAAGACTCATGGATCGGCTGCCTCCTGCACGCCCCCTACTGGGGCTCGAACCCGGGACCCTTCAGTCTGCAGGCTGACACTCTGTCCACTGAGCCAAACCGGCTAGGGCTGCATCCATCCTTAAAGATGGCTGGGCGCCTTTCTGACCTTGGGGAGTGAAGGTCACTCGCAGCCAAGGCAGCGACCTGGGGACTTCGCTGAAGCTGTGAGGACTCGGGAGGGACCTGGCACAGATGGGGAAAGGCCATGGAAAGTGGGCGCCTGTCTGAGCGACAGGCAGCTTCTGACCTACAAGGGGATGGAGAAGACCCAACAAGAAGGACCAAGGGCGGCTCCAGGAGATGACCTTGGGAGTGAAGGTCACTTGGAGTCAAAGGCAGCGACCTGGGGACTTCACTGAAGCTGTGAGGACTTGGGAGGGACCTGGCACAGATGGGGAAAGGCCATGGAAATACGCACCATGAACCCAGCAGGAGGGGGAGCAGTAACCTTGAAGGGACCTCCATGCTCTTTTGTACTTTGTGCGGAGATTCTGGGATGGGAGTGATGTCGCCAGGAGGGGTCTACCAGGCTCGCACCGTGAACCCAGCAGGAGGGGGAGCAGTGACCTTGAAGTGACCTCTGTGCTCTTTTATACTTTGTGCGGAGATTCTGGGGATGGGAGTGATGTCGCCAGGAGGGGTCTACCAGGCTGCCCCCAGATGAGCACTCACTCTTTTTATTTATTTCTTTATTTTTATAAATATGTTTTTATTTATTTTAGAAAGGAAGGGAGATAGAAACAGAAACATCAACAACGAGAGAGAATCACTGATCGGCTGGCACGCCCCCTACTGGGGATCAAGCCCGCCACCGGGGCACCTGCCCTGACTGGGAATCGAACCCTGACCTTCTGGTTCCTAGGTCGACGCTCAACCACGGAGCCACGCCGGCCCGGCAGCCCCCATTCTGTAAAAGCAGGGAGTCTCGGGGTGGGTGCAGCTGGATCGCGCCGTACCTGCAGGCATGGTTCTCGCAAAGACGAAGTTGGAGGCGCTGCAGCCCAGCTTCTCGGCCTCGTGGTTGCAGCTGTGGATGTCGATGCGGTAGAGGGTGAAGGGCTTCAGGTTGGAGATGACGGTCCTCTCCTTCTTGTCCACCCTGCTCTCGAAGAAAGGGTAGTCCGTCTCCCTGTCATCTGGGTCCGTGCTGTTGAAGGGGTCCGTCACCGTGCTGTTCCTGCTCCGGCCGGAAAGGGTGGTGTTGGAGATCTGCCCCACGTCCCTGCGCTTCCTGTCGGGCCTGCAAAGGAGAGACACACACACACCAGGCTCGCTGGGGCCTCACCAGGCTCGCAGGGGCCTCCACCGCTTCTGTCTTGTCTCCGCCTCGGGTTGGAGTCACGGAGAGAAGAGCAAACTCGTCACCCGGGAGTGAAAGGAGCTATGCAGCCCTCCTGCCTAAGAGCCAACCAATAGTACAGGGATTTCCTTCCTATTTTATCATTTTTATTTTTTTAAAATATATATTTTTATTGATCTCAGAGAGGATGGCAGAGGGAGAGAGAGAGAGGGGAACATCCATGATGAGAGAGAATCATGGATCGGCCGCCTCCTGCACGCCCCCTGTTGGGGATCGAGCCTGCAACCCGGGCATTTGCCCTTGACCGGGAATGGAACTGTGACCTCCTGGTTCAGAGGTCAACGCGCAACCACTGAGCCACACTGGCCGCCGGGCACTTGTCCCTCCTTGATGGCGACTTGGTGCCGCCCCGAGGTCACGGATCCACCCACTACCAGGGGGGAGGGGAGGCGACAGGCCCGCCCCAGGGAGCCCTGCCCGGCAGCCGGGACAGACTTTCGGCTTGGACAGCACCTGGGCACGAAGATGGAGTTGTGCAGGAAGTTCTCGAAGACTTTGCGGTACTCGGCCTCCTCCTTCTCCGCCTGCTTCTCGGCCTCGGTTTTGGGACACGCGCAGCAGGGCCCCTTCGGGGTGTTGCACGACTCGGTCTTGGGGTTCTCCGTCACCTCCTCGATGTCGAAGGTGCCGTCCGTGTACTTGCGGACGGGGAGCTTGTCTGCTCGGGGGAGAGAGGCGCCGGAGGGCCAGGTCACCCCGCTGGGTGGTCACGGCCCCCGACCTGACCC